TTCGTTTTGGTACTCTCTTGCTTCAATTATAGCATGAAACTCAATATTATTGTATTATTTATTCTTTGATCTATGAAATTTTTATTTGACCTACATGATTAACGTTAGATGAGAAAGCGACTGTCCTTGGCTAACCAAGTTTCAACAAATAAATGAATTATGCAAGAATACGTGAAAATTATAGAATTTTTTTTTTTACTGCATATAACTTTGTAAGAGAAAGTGAGGACTTTGTTAGCTTAGTTTTGCAAATTGTTTTCAATGAGAGCCTACGCCTTGCCCCTCCCTTAAAGGTGGTTGCAAACGCGTTTACTAAGGGAATCAGTAGCTGAATGCAGGCGAAGTATTTCAAAAGTAAATGACGACAATAGAAAATATATTAAGTTTTTGTATCAAATAAAACACAAAACAATGTAAATTCAATCATTAAAAGCAGAAAGAATAGTGTAAAACCGTACATTTTTAGATCTAAGCGCAATTTTTTTTGTGAGCATTTTTGCTGGAACAGTAGTCAAGAGGGACATATATATTTTCGTATATATATATCGCGAGAGAAATCCAACACGTAATTGTTATTCAGAATCCCATACAACGATTAGAGTTTTCCCTTTACTGACAACGTAACGATTAAAAACTTACTTATAACGAATAATACTACCACTTCTTAATGAATTTAGCGGTTAAGGTGTATTTGCAACGAATAAATTAAAAAAGCATCCATTTAAAAAAGAAACTCTTTTTGCTTATAAATCTTATTAACGTAATAAAAATAATAATTAAATGAATTATTTAATGTAGCGGTTGTCTGCATTGAATTCTCTTGATTTTACATTTACTAAAACTTGTTAAAGCGCGCACACATTGCATGCGTTACGCGTGGCTCAAAACAAAACTGATCGCGTGTGTATTTATATATAGTTGAGTATGTAGATTGCATTGGGCCGTATGTGAATGCAAGTTTTTGGCAAACTTTTAAATTTGTACGTATGTGGTTTTGACAAACAAAAAAAAAAAAAAAACACACAGAGACACACTGATATGCTTACAGAAAACGAATAAAATCATATGATTTTATATGCTGTTCATTAGATGCTAGTGCTTTAAGACTTTAGTCTTAGGATCTATTCCCTGGCTAAATTAATAATAACAATAACAATATATGCTGTTAAAAACAAATAAAATTATAATTTGAGTAAACGTAAAAAATTTACTTCGAAATGTTTTCCAATTTGCCTCAATTTGTATATAGGCGGTCGATTCCACTATGTCATAAAAGTAAAAAATTATTCAACGTTTGTTTAATTCCTTATAAGAAAGTACATCTAAAGATTGTTTTATTCAAAAAGTCGGTCTAGCTGTCGATGTCATGGAAAGTTCAATGAATTTTTGTTGGTTTTACTATAATCTTCTTGTTTGATTTATTCACCTATTAATGAGCATTGAGGAAATAATCGTGAAAGAATTTCATAAAAGATAATAATTACTTTCTTTAACAGAAAGAGGAAACGGAAAGAATTCACTTCTCTAGAGCTCTCTAGGTATTCATCACTAATTTCTAATATCTAAGATTTGTTGCTGTTATTGTTTGTGCTTGTGTTGAGCAAAACCAGTCAAAATATTCATAATCAAAGGAACACTGACGACATTCATTTTTGTTAAGCTTATATAAGATTTCAATTTAAAAGTGATTTTAATAAAAACATTTATTGTTGTACTGTATGTGAGTGAGCTTGATAATTTTGCCTTTCATGCCTGTCGGCGATTAATATGAAAAGAGGGCGTTTTGACATGAAGCTGCCATATACAACAACGCAAATTATTCATTCGATTGAAATGATAAACTTGGCAATTCTGTGTGGATGTAAAAATATTCTTCTTCTTCTGCAAGTCAACAAATCAACAACGAAATAAACATATTTAATTGTACAAGTTAGCCTAAAAGTAGACCGCCGTAATTTTTTTCTTATTATCAAATTAAACGAAACAGTAGCTAAATTTTTTGCTATTTACAGAGTGAACGTAATACTCTATGCTAATTTACAGAAAAGACGTAATACTCTATGCTAATTTACAGAAAGAACGTAATACACTATGCTAATTTGCAAAGCCGTCGGCAAAAGTCCCCAATTTATTTATTGGGTTATTTTACGTCTTTGTCACGGAATGTTGCACAATCAGCAGAAATAACTAAAGGTTCTCGGAAAATACCATCAGCAGAAGGTTCAACTTGTGGGAACTGGGCGGTCAACTGGTGGAATCTGTGTGTGAAATCTTGCCATCACATGTTAATCTCAAATAAATCTTCGTCTGTAATTTGCATCATTGCAGTATGTAATGCAAACTATATGTTCGACTACATACAGACATGTACGATCAATTTTATTTTGACAGTTTGTGCATAATACAAAATATGTAATGAATGCCGTCATTATGTTGAGCGTTTTATTCTCTTAAGCAGTATAGCAAATAGGATAAAAGATTTGTATTATCATAAAATGTTAATTAACGTTTTTCCCACAAATTTACACCCAGCGATAAAACATGTTTATCAATTTACTGCACTTGGTAATACTGGCTGTCAGAATATTTCACAACGATTATTAGTAAGAATTGGAAAATTTTTTTTGATAAAAGAATTAGGGATATTTTTTAAATTAGTTTTTTTATTTCAATTATATAGAAAGGAATCAATAATATTAGTATCACTTAAAAATCCTCCCGAGGCACTGTTTGTGATTGTGTTTACTGGAAAAGACACAAGAAAGTCATCAGGTTAAATAACCAAATTATTTTGTCCGCTTTACTGGAACAGAATAACATAAAAATCAGCGAAATGGCTTATCGTTTAATAAATTCAGCACAACTTATGGAACGATGCATCCGTCGGTCATATCTAAGTCATTCTGCAGCATCTGCAAAGGAGGTTTGTGTATTCGTCTACTCGCCGCCATTTTTAAGTTAATTTAAAGAAGAATTTCTGCTTGTTTTAGATGTCGCATTCGCAGGGCGTTGTTTTTTTGGAACAAGTTCCTTTAGTTAGGTATCTACTGGAGCAAATTAGATATTTTTGCAAAAAGCCGCCAAAGGGTTTTGAGAAGTATTTCGACGAAGGTAAAAAACCTGGAGCTAAAGCTGCGGCAGGTGAGGATAGCGCAAAGAAAGGTGATGCCCCTGCGCAACCTTCCAAAAGCCTCCCTCCAAGTCAAACGCAGTCAACACCACAACAACAGCAGCAGCGATCTGACTGGAATTTTGGTATGTTTACGAATAAACAACAGCAGGGCGGTCGGCAGGGCGGTAATAGAAATGTGGGCGATAGTGGTTCCGGTGATCGTGAAAAATGGATTATTCTTGGTGCGATTGCTGCAGCGGCATTAGTGGGCAGTTTTGCTTTCTTTGAAGTCGGTTACAAAGAAATAGCTTGGAAGGACTTTGTCAATAAGTAATGTTGGCTTGCATATTTAATCTTTTTATCTTAGTCATAAAAATAATCATTTATTCATACTGTCGTAGTTACCTCAACAAGGGAGTGGTAGAAAAATTGGAAGTAATTAACAAAAAATGGGTGCGGGTTCGCTTACTGCCAGGTCATAGTAAGGATGCTGGTGGGATGTTATGGTTTAATATTGGCAGTGTTGACTCGTTTGAGCGAAATTTGGAGAACGCTCAAATTGAGCAGGGTTTTGAGCCAGCAAACTTTATACCCGTCATTTACCGAACCGAAGTGGAGGCTTCTAGTTTAACCGGTTTACTGCCAACGCTATTGATTATAGGTTTTCTAGTTTATATGATGCGCCGATCCGCGGATATGATGGGAAGTGGCCGAGGACGTAAAGGCGGCGGTTTGTTTGGTGGTGTTATGCAATCAACAGCTAAATTAATTAATTCCAATGAAATCGATGTACGCTTTAGGTGAGTTAATCCTTCGTCGTTAGTATTGTTGCGAATTTTGTACTTATAAATTCATTCTGTAGAGACGTGGCCGGATGCGAGGAGGCCAAAATAGAAATTATGGAGTTTGTAAATTTCTTGAAAAATCCTCAGCAATACATTGACTTGGGTGCAAAGATACCTAAAGGTGCAATGTTAACTGGTCCCCCAGGGACTGGCAAAACCCTACTTGCAAAGGCGACTGCAGGAGAAGCTAATGTGCCTTTTATCACTGTCTCTGGTTCCGAATTCTTAGAAATGTTTGTTGGCGTTGGTCCGTCGAGAGTGCGTGATATGTTTGCATTGGCCCGTAAAAATGCTCCTTGCATTCTCTTTATTGATGAAATAGACGCGGTAGGCCGTAAACGTGGCGGTAAGTCATTTGGTGGCCACTCGGAGCAGGAGAATACCTTGAATCAACTCCTAGTTGAAATGGATGGCTTTAATACAACAACTAATGTGGTAGTTTTAGCCGCAACAAATCGTATAGATATCCTAGATAAAGCTTTGTTACGACCTGGCCGTTTCGATAGGCAAATATTTGTACCGGCTCCCGACATTAAAGGCAGAGCCAGCATATTTAAAGTACATTTGCAGCCTTTGAAAACTGATTTGGATAAACAAGATTTGTCACGTAAAATGGCTGCTTTAACTCCAGGTTTCACAGGTGCCGATATTGCAAATGTATGCAATGAAGCAGCGTTAATAGCAGCAAGAGATTCAAATGAAACCATTATATTGAAAAATTTCGAACAGGCAATTGAACGCGTTATTGCTGGTATGGAAAAGAAAACAAACGTTCTGGCTCCTGAGGAAAAGAAAACTGTCGCGCATCATGAGGCTGGCCATGCTGTCGCCGGTTGGTTCTTGGAGCATGCTGATCCTCTGTTAAAAGTATCTATTATACCACGTGGCAAAGGTTTGGGTTATGCCCAATATTTGCCGAAAGATCAGTATTTACTTAGCAAAGAGCAACTTTTCGATCGCATGTGCATGACTTTGGGCGGGCGTGTGGCCGAAGAGCTATTCTTTAATCGTATTACTACCGGAGCGCAAGATGATCTCAAAAAAATAACTGATAGTGCATACGCTCAAATTGTTCGATTTGGTATGAACGAGCGCGTCGGTCAAGTCAGTTTCGATGCCGGCATTCAAGGTGATCCGGTCTTCACGAAGCCCTATTCCGAAGAAACCGCTCAAATGATTGATAACGAAGTGCGTAACTTGATCAAAAGAGCCCATGAGGTAACCACGGTATTGCTAACAAAACATAAGGAAGATGTAGCAAAGGTTGCGCAACGTTTACTTAAGAATGAGGTCCTGAGTCGAAACGATATGATTGAACTGCTTGGTCCACGACCTTTCAAAGAAAAATCCACCTATGAAGAGTTTGTTGAAGGTACGGGCTCATTAGACGAAGATACTACTTTGCCGAAAGGCCTACAAGACTGGAATAAACAAAAGACGCCCGAAACTCCTACACAGCCTGCTAAGCCAGTACCCACGACATAGATAACTAGGCGATTTATAACCTGTTTGCAACAATTTCTTTTTCACCTCTGTAATTAATTTATTTGTTTATATCAATTCTGTTATGTAAGTTCTCACTTTCTGCATTCATGTATGTGTAAGTGCACACGAAACACTCGTGCAGATGGATGACAATAATGTTGAAGCAGCAAATACTAGTTCAACATTATGACAAGTGCAAACAAATTAACTAAACAAAAATAAAGTTGTTTAAACGATATTTAGGAAGTATTGTGTTGAATGAATGAGTTTGTAAAGAGGCAAAGAAAAAAAAAAAAAAAAAAGGAGAAAAGGCAATCTCCTTGTCCTACTTCTGTGCTTGAGTATTTTATAGTAACTTAGGATGTGCAAAATTGCTGGCTGAACACGTTCATCTATAGGAATTATGATTAATATGCATGCAAATGTATGCTTAGTAAATGTATGCTTTTCTAGGAGTAGTGCCGAAGAAATCCCTCAAGTTATCTTTTGTCACAATTGTGTGCTATCTGCAAAAATAATTTTAGAAAGCCTCCTGTAGTACGTCTAAGCCCAGATTGTCTTAGGTTTCGATATGTCGTATGTAAAACTTCACTAGATCAAATAATTACAATTTATTTCCTTCCGGGTTTAAGCCAGGGTTACCTCTTTCTCTATACTCTCTTGTTGATGAAAAATAAAATTTTCTCGTAAGAATATTGAATTATAAGTGATTAACGTTATATCGAGAAACAATTCAAGTAAATTGGATAACTAAAAAACTAATTTGTCCTCTATTTGATATTGAAAACTCTTCTTTTTGTAAAACAGGGCGAAATTGTTAAAAGGGATTTAATTGATTGAGTAAAGTATATAAGCAGATATATGAAAATGAATGAATGCTAAAAACGGATGGCAACCCTATTGCACTGTTACGGTGACATTTCTTATCTTATCATTGACAGACGATAGTAAGGGAAAAAGCTCTATCAAAAGCTTAGCCGGCATTTGCAAGTTTACTCTTATTAACTATTATATTACTCTTACCATCTTGGGCATTATGCTCTTAATATATTTTATCTGACGGTGTTTATTATTTATTATTTTTATTGGGGTTGTTGTTCGTGTACTATGTGCAGCTATTTGCATTTATATATATATATATATATATAGATAGATATATATATACTCATTTATATATATATTTGCATATATATTTATATATATATTTGCGCTTTATATATATGTATATATATATGCATATATGCATATATGCGTAGTGCCGATGGCTTTAATTGGAACTATGCAACGTATTAGTTTTTTAATACTGTTAATTTTTTATGACCATTATGCTGGGTTGAGAGAAGGTGAGAAATGTGATTTGGGAGTAAAGAGTAAAGAGTTGTTGAACGAACGCATCACTAAGTGAGAATAGTGTGAAAGGGTGTGCATGAATTTTGCATGTTTGCCTTTGGTCGACGTTTCTGTTTCGCTCGTTTTTCATTTATTTCGAGTAGTAGTTGCTGCCGATAGTGTTGTTAGTTTGGTTGTTGTTATTACCACCGCCACCGTCGCAGCAGCAAATACAACTATCTTTTGGTTACCTCGCATGTATTTTACATTTTAGCAAAACAGTTTGTCGCGAGCGCTTGCTTACTAAATATAGTGGCGCTATAATACTTTAGCACAGACGACAAGTGTTTGTATTAATTTTCAAAATCCTAGAAATAATAAAAAAAGAAATAATTAATAATAATAATGATAATAAACATAAATCTTATAATTAGTGAGTAGTGCAAGTAACGCAAGAAAAACAACTAATAATAGTATAAACAATAGTAAGAAAATAGTCAAATAATATGAAAAACACCTCATTTTTCAAACAATAGTTAAAAAAAAAAAAAGTTTATATTTATGTCAATTAAGTGCAGTTGCTGTTAGTGTGTGAATAAAAAGTTGTTGTAATTTATAAATCCAGAGCCAGTATAATCGTTACAAGTGCATATAGACATTTGTACATGCATGCATGCTTCTAGTTGGCTTTTGAGAAAAGAAAATTTATACCGCTTCTTATTCTTATTCATATGTTCAGTGGTGTTGTTGTTATTTGACTTAAAAATTGCTCTAAAATTATTGCTATTCGAATGAATTTAACATTAAAAAGGAATAGCAAAGGAAAATATTTAACAAATGTTTTTTTTTTTTCTTTTTTTTTTTTAATATTACTTGTGAATTGGTGTATGTGTGTTTGTTTGTGTGCGTGTGTTAGTATTCCTTGAAATTTCAGCCTTTTTTTGGAGGCCTAGTTTATGCAAATTTCCATTCGACCCGTTTTACAGTTTGCTTACTTTGGTCTCTTGCAGGCAGGCAAAATTCTGTTAAGGCTCTGCTTTTACCATTCAGTCGGCTTGAGTAACAATAATAAAAACGTGGTTGTTATTGTCTTTTTTATTTTATTTTTTTTTTTTTTTTCTTTTTTGATGTGTTTACATTATCTCCCAGAACGTGGTATCGCGCGTTTTGCAAAACACAGTGCAGCAGAGCAAAGCAACGCATCGCGAATTTGCTTACGGACGACGGTTTCTGATTGCAAGTTTGTGCTTCTCGAGCTCTTGTTTGCTGTTATTGTTGATGTTGTTGCTTCTTTGTTTTTATTTATTTATTTTCTTGCCATTTCATTGCGTCAAGGTCTCTTAGCCGGTATTAAAGCATATGCACACATACACATACGTATACGCAGATGCGTGCTTACATAGTACGTACATATGTGCATACCGTATATAATTTGTGGAAATCATAAAGACATCTAAACATACATATATACATACGTTCATACATATCTACGAAAATGCATACGTAGATACGTACGTGCATATACGTGAATGCATACAGAAGAACAAAATTTGCGATTTATTTATTTATTTTTTTTTTTCAAATCAAAGTAAAAGTATTCACATGTTAGGGGTAGCGTTGTATAACATTTAACTGGCACGAATTAGATTTCCATTGCTGTTGTTGTTGCATCGGTGCAAACAGCTGATTGATATCATGGTTATTTCCGCATCCTTTACGCATTGTTATTACAGTTATTTTTGTTTTTTTTCCTTTTTTAAGCACTGACGACATTGAAGAGAATTTAGGGTAAAATGTGCGTTATCCTAATTGTTTCTTTCATTTTAGTAAACGTTTAAATCTCATTAATAAAAATGCAATGAAAAAAGAAAAAAATATATAAAGGAAAAGTGAAACTGATTTTACGATCAGAGTATTTAGTGAAAGAAAAAAAAAATGCTCAAGAAGACTTTATTTTAGGTAGTATTTACTAATCGTATGACGAAGTCTTTTGATTTATTTAAACACTTGCCACACATACATGCATATGACAAAACGAAATTGTTCTTTACATCATGTTCAATCAAAATTGACTAGTGGGCCCGTATAATTTAGCGTCACGAGTCCGCGGATTTTTACAAACGAATACAATGTTAATTCAGCTCGAAGTTAAATTCTGTCCTGCTTGGGAGATGATTTCAGTTATGTATTAGTCTAAACTGTTTTATATTTGAAGGGGAATGTTGGGGTGAAAATGCTTGAAACATTTTATATTTATTAATTTAATTTTTAATCGTTGCGATGTTTGCCTGCAACAAAATGTCGGAATAATTCCATTTGTTTTGTATCCGCCGACGGGCCCCATCGATTTGCCGCAGAGCACGTGTAATATTTTTCGGTCTCGTTTCATATTTGAAATGAAGTCTTTACCACGCCATTGAAATATTCACCCATTGAAACAATTATAATAGTCTTGTGTTGACGTCAACGAGCCTACGGTGGCGATTTATACGTTAATTATTAAAAAAGTTTTGGATAACTTATATATGCCTGGTACCATAAACCCAAGTAGTATGTGCATGTCAAATAAGCATATCGTGGTTCAATTCTCATTTCAGTGCTTGGTTTGCTTACCGATCCGCTACACATCTCCCAAGCTTTGGCGACTCTCTCTCTTTGCTCTCTCTATTCCCTTCGGGGCCATCATCATAATGCACCGTAATATAGGGGACATACGTGAATGCTCACTGTTCCGGTATTCACGATTCAAACAAAAATTTAATGCTCCTTATCAACAAGGCCTTCTATATATATATCGCTATCAATTTGCCGCCTTTCCTGCATTTCCTTACGTTCTCGTTACTCTAGACTATGAATTTCTTAACCTTATAAAGCCCGAATGCCTCTTCTGGCCTATAATTGTACATATAGTTGGACGAGGCGTTCGATGGTAATAGCTTAGAGACGGTGTGATGTTCGTATGAATAATGCAGAAATTTATTATTATTCATACGACTGCGCGCATTAAAAAGAAAGTATGAATCGTTCAGGTAATGATAACACCACGTAAGGGCTTTTTTTGCATCTTTTTTCTTTCTTTAAATGGCTTAAAACGGTTGTAAAAATGGTCGACACGTAAGGGGAATTTTTTATAGAATATGGCAAACTTGTTACGGATACGTTGGTTGCATTAACTGCTTTCGTTAGCATAAGAAACAATGGGAGATGAAGAATATTTGGAGTCTTCCGCTTATGCATGATACCGGCAAAGCGGATTAGGAGCATAGTAAAAATCCCGTCAAAATCGAAAGTGCGTTTTTCTCGTGCCTTAGCATACACTTTTGCTCTTTCCGTTGGTATCTCATTTAACTTAAGCTTCAAACTGTAACTTAAGATAGGGATTTAGATAAACAGCTCTGTTCCTATTCTATGGCCGATTTTTTGAAGCATAAATAAAACTTTTATTAACCGATAATGCATTGTTGTTAAATCAGTTTTTCGAGCAAATGGCTCGACGTTCTGTAGATTATCAATTATGTTGTTCGAATATATTTAACTTGCGTTTATCTTCAAATACCGCTTTATATATTCTTGAGTGGCCATATCCGCACGTCTTGTCCGACTGTCATCAGGATATATATACATATGATGTGATACGAAAAGGTGAAAAAGTATAATACGCTTTTCTCAACTGGCGACTTGAACTGGAAATTTTTGAAACAAAAAGAAGCGAAGAGAAGGAAAAGAGAAAGACGAAGAGAGATAGAAATAAAGTAAAAAATAAATTTTTTTGACAAGCACGCATTTTGCCGTTTCTTGATTTCATGCCGGCTTTTGAATTATCTCATAGTTATGTGCCTTGTCTTTCGAACAACAGCAATGTGCAAAAATTAACCTTTACAAAAGTCTTTATCATATTCAGATCACCTGTCAATCATACTGTTCAATACGCGATAACGCTAATAAAAATTAAAGTATTATAAACACACAGTATCAATATCAAGCTATAAACGCTGTACTTCGCACGAGATTGAATTGATTGCGGCCAACTTCTTGGCGTGTATAAAAGCTGCTCTCAGCCCATTTAAATAGATAGAGAGAAAAAAAATGTAGACATTTAAAGGGAACTTTTTTGCAAGATGGTTAATGAAATTGTCCTTTTCTTTCTCTATAATACTCGTTACGCAATTACGTTGGTTTTCATAAGCAAAAACACTACACTACTGCATCACCCTAAAGTTATCCATGTAACTGCGTTATGTGGGAAATGATATCCAATAATTATATACGTGAGCAAAATGTATGCGACACGCAATAGATTCTGTATATCGTAAAAGTGTATTTTTGTTCAAACTTACTGTCAAATTCCTGACACAAGTTGAGGGCCAGTATTAAACACGTAAGAGCAATACAGGTGATCACGACTCACCACTAAATGATCTGCACCACTTCGCTTAACATAGTCGTTCATATGGCGACATATCAAAATAAGATGTTGTATGGGAAATGGACGAAAGTGCGATCCGAACCGAAGCAGCGTTCGTCTTTGGGCCAAAACAGATCGGTGTACCAAACTTCATCGAAATGTCTCATAAATTGAGGCGTGTAGGTAAAACACAAGCAAACATGGCAAAGACAGACCGACAGAAAAGCTTTAGAAAATAATTCTGCTTCGATTGGTACAAGAAAAGGGTGGGTCTATCTTAAGTCTTTCTGGGTGTTTCATACATCCGCACAAACTTAATGTAAGTTTTATAAAACTCGCCTTTTGATCCCAAAGGGTGTGGCGTGAATAATGATTAGATAAAACATTGCTGTCCGCTTAACGTTGGTTGCACATTAGCGTACGCCGATAGTCTGAAAGATATGGGAAAAGAGAGAAAGTAATAGAAGGGTGGTGGCCGCAGTCCAATAAGTGTTACGCCTTGACCGACCAAGCACGCACTATACCTACGACCAAGCATGAAAGCAAGATCTAACCGCATTGAGCTTGGGACCGGCGAAAACTGATATGGTAATCGTCTAGACTATGCTTCAGCCGGTAAACACTTGTAAAGTTTTAAATAGCGTGATAGCGGATGAAGTGCAAAGTTTCTTGATCAATTCATAATTCCTATTATCCGTCAATAATGTTTTCATTCAAATTGTATAGGAAAAGTGGAACTTGCCTCAAACGGTGCTGCTTGGCTCGACTAATGCAGCTTATCCAAGGCGTGAAACAATCAAGTTATTTATAGCGCAGCGTAAAGTCGAATAATAGTATTTTGATATAGAGAAGTTACGACACCATAGCAGTACGATCGACCTTAGAATCAATTTCAAGTATTTCCCTTCATCTATATGTGTGGTCGCCTCCTATGCACCCCTATCTACGACAGCTGCATTTTTTGGTATAATCATAAAAATGGAAGAGAGCTGATCAAACAGTAGAAAAGATTGTCTTGAGAAGATGGCGGTTGTGGTAGCCACTACAATACGATTCCTTGACCAGAAACTTGAAGTATTT